CCAAGGCGCAGTCAGGAAAAGCACTGCATAGCTTGCTGTCCCAGGATTCAAGGCCTGCCAACTTGCACAGTTTTCTGTTCCCTATGGGTCTGTACAGGTAGCTCAAGGGCCCACAACATTTTGAAGATACACCTGAGTATAAACTTCCAGGTCAACAGTAGAGAGGCCTTCAGCAAAGAAGCCTGGGAGGGCTTTCTTCAGCTCAAGTCTCAAGTTTCTGCATCTGCAGATGGAAGCCTTGAAGCCCTGATAACAGGAACACTATCAGAACTTCTGCTCCTGCAGCTGAAAGACCTGGGCAAGTTTCCAAGGTTCCTGTGAAGCACTGAGGACTTGGGAGGCTCGATAGCTCAACAGCAGTCCTGTGAGCCCTGATCTGAGCTACATCAAAAGGTGTCAGACTCCACATCATTTCCAAAGAAACACTGGAGAAAATTCTAATACAAGGAAAATTTCAAGATGTCACAGTTTTCCATGAACTGGGGAACACCAAGTCTGGCTCATTTCCACTGCAATTTCCTGCAGAAAGTCTCTAATCTGTGTTCCTCTTTGAAAATGAACCTTCACCTGTTAAAATACATAATGCTAAAGCAATAGACATGAATAAAACATGCAAGCTTACCTTTAAGGTACAAAAGCATCCCTCATTATCCCCAAATTTCTAGTTATTCTCATATGAACATGCCTGCCTTGAGTCCTAGTCTTTTCATTTAAAAAACAACAAACCAGATCTACTCATCCTTCCTCAGGACTTACAGTAGAAAAAGATGCATCTTGTAAAGCCAAACCCACAGAGGTTCTAAGCAGGTTACTCCACTTGGCATGTTAATTACTCACAGTTTCTTTACTGAAACAGTATCTCTAGAGACTGGACAACTGAACACAGGGCTGGAAGTTTTAGAGTACCAAAAGACAACAGCCAAAGAACCAGTGCGTTCTGGACACCTGCAGGAATGTCCGGCCCACAGGCAGCCACTTGAGATGAACAACAGCGTGTATTACAAAAAGAAGGGCAGATTCCTGGGATCCAAGCTCTCAGAGGTACTGTGGCAAGGGAGGGAGGGATGAACTACACCAGCACACAACGAGCAGGTTAAAGATTTAGCTCACTTAATTTATTAGGTAGCATCACAAAGTTTTTGATACTTAGTGCCGCAGTTCTAGAGCCCGAGGCACAAGTCCCAGCTTGCCAGCCTGCTGCACAAATGGTAACGAGACGCAGGTGTCCATGGAATGCAGGCTGCTGGTGGGGCAGTTTATCCCATCATCCCTACAGGTGTGGAAAAGTAATTTGAGCCTTAAGGACATTTTACCAGGTGTGAATACTTCAGTACTGAAAAACTAAAGAACACTGAAGCTGCACTGAACTTCAGAAACTTGCAAGAAGCTTTTTATGAGACTGAATTCTCACAATACCTTTCAAGGTCTCAATTTCTCATACACCTAAATGAAGAGGACGTTCTTTCAGTTTAAAATATTTCTTATATGGCAATTTTTATTCATCTATGAGTGATCCATAAAGCTTTTTTTCTGTTAAGAAGTTTTCTTTTCTTGCCATTAAAAGATGAAAAGAGCCTTTTCCAATTTCTCACAGTGCCTAGATACTTCCTATAATTCAGATTAATACCATTCACATTCACTTACATCATATGCTTCAGATGCACTCACGCAGAACTACAGAGAAAGATACAGAAGAATGATTTAGGAATCAGTATTATATACAATATCACTACTTCCAAAATGCAAAAGCAACCTCAAGGCAGCTCAGTTTCTCACCTGAAAAACAGTTCTTGCTTTAATTTATGTGTATAGACAAGTGAACAGATGCTACAATGCCATCCCAGAGTTCTCCATGTAGCTTAAGCATTCCCAGTAAACTCTGGCTCTATATTTACCACATGTACAGCCCAGGATTACCTCCACGTAGCTCATTATCACACCCACTCTCCCACTGCAATAGCAGCGTTGTTGAGTCAAAGGATCCAACAGCTCTTTTCCATCTTTAATTCCAGTTCTTATGCTACTTCCACAAAATCCCTGCTAGCACAGCACATAGTTCAGAAAAGAAAGGCATATGGTGACAGAGCAGCAATTGTTTCCCTCCACACACCAATTTCTATATCAGGATAGAAAGTACAAATTAAGAAGCGTCATTACTGGTTTCTTGGAACACAACATGACAAAGTACAAAACTTTTTTCCCCCCAAGTTGATGCAAACAAAGCCAATATTGCGCACAACATTTTAGTTCCTGTACTATGTGTCCTCTAAAGTAGTAAACCCACAATTAGCATGAGAAAGGTCCAGCTGGAGGTATCACGAACAACTAGCATTACTTCTTGCATATGTATTTTTTTCAAAACATATGTTCTGCTTGAGAACAATAGAGTGCCAGTAGGTTGGCAGTAGAACAACAATTTAAGTTATGGTCTCAGTAAAGGTAGGAGGAAGAATTTGCTAAAGCAATGTATTTCACTTCAAACCCCCAAGAAGCCCATTACAGACAATCAGGCAAATATATGTTAATGGCCATGGGGGGAAAAAAAAAAAAAAAAAAACAACCCTAACTAAATGCTTTAAAAGTGCACTTCATGGATGAAAGCTGCCAAATTACAGAGAGGATTTACTGAGAAGAATGCGCTGCTGCCAGGATGGACAAAAGCATGCATTCTACCCAATCCAAGCTCCTCCCCATCTCCTGTCATGCTCACAGCAAGAAGCAGCTCAAAAACTGACAGCCACAGACTCCGGGACTGGAAGAGACAAAAAGAAAAATAATAATAACCCCGCTGGCAAATGCCAGGAAAAATGTTATTTTGAAGATCTAACAAAAGAGGCTGTGGAAAAAAAAAAAAAAAAGAAAAAAAAAAAAAAGAAAGAAAGAAAAAAGAACAAACAACGAAACAAAGCAACCAAAAAGACCCGAGTAACGAGCAAAATAACACCACTCAAAATTACTGGGACAGCAAGCACAGTTTCACAGGAAACCAAGCACACCTGATGGGGTTTTAAAAGAGCCAACATCAAGAAGTGCTTTGAAAACAGAAGCTGCAATGCGCATCATGCAACGCTTGGCAGGAGTTTCCCAGAGTTTGTGTGCAAGGAGAAAAGCGCAGTTCCCCCCCCCCCCAGCCGGACCACCAGCCTTTCCAAACGAGGATGCTCGATGGCCCCCAACCAGGCGATCGGCACCGGTGGTGGAGCCGAGCGCCGTTCGGCACGAGTCTACTTCCCTCCCTCCCCCCTTTTTCTTTCTTTCTTTCTTGCTGTCGCTGTAGTTCCTCCGTCGGTCCCGTTTACGGAGCTCCCGGCCCCCCGGGCAGAGCGTCCCGGCCCCACGGCTGCGAGCCGCCCCCTACCTGGTTGGAGTCGTCGCCGCGCTCCAGGTGCACGATGCCCTGGCTCCTGCCCTCCGTGTCGCTCAGCACGTCGTCCTCCGAGTCCTCCAGGAGGGATGACGAGCCCGTGGAGGAGAGCGAGGAGGTGGACAGCCTGCGGGACTGCAGGTGCAGCGAGCCGCCCGTCCTCAGCCAGCCGCCCTCCGCGTGCGCCGGCGGCGCCTCGGGGCTGCCCTGCGACTCTTCGCTCTCCTCGGCGGTGACGGTGAGGCGCGGGATGACGGGCGGCAGCACGCCGTTGGGGGGCCGGCAGCCCCGCTTGGCCGGGTCGGGCAGCTGCCGGGCGGCGGCGGCGGCGACGGCGGCGCAGCGCGCCTCGAAGAGGGAGCGCAGCTCCCCCACGCTGAGCCGCGTGGCCCGACTGAGCTCCGGGCTGCTGTGCAGCGCCGCTCGGGGCTCCGCGCTGGGGTCGGCGGCGGGCGCCCGCCGGGCAGAGCCCCAGGGATGGCGGCCGGGGGCGTGCATGAGGGAGCGCCGCGCCCGCCGTGCCGCCGGGGAAACTTCTTTGTTGCTCAGCCTCCGGCCGCCGCTCGCAGCCCGGCGGCGTGGCTCATGTCCAGCCCGCCCTCCCCGGGCGGCTCTGACTCACCCGCAGCCCGTTACCGCGCCCGCTGCCCCGGCGCCAGGGCCACGGGGGCTCGCCGAGCCTTCCCGCCCGCCGCCGCCCCGCTCCGCCTCGGCGCCGAGGGGAGGAGCGAGCTGAGCCCCGCCGCGGGGAACCCCGGCCCCCCCGCCCCTTCCTTGCCGCCGCCTCCGCCCTTTTGGTTTCGCTTTCCCTCGAGCGGCCTCCGCTCCTCTGAGGCTGCCTCAGCGCCCGCCTTCCCGCCCTTACCTCGGCACGAGCCGCCGCTTGCTCCAACGGCCGCCGCCTCGCGCCCACCGCCCTCCAACGGTCGCCCGCTCCCCGGGCACGGCGGCTGCGCGGCGTGGACGAACCCCGGCCCGAGCCCCCTGCCGGGCGGCTTCGATCGCCTTTCCAAAGCCTGAGCCTTCCTGTGCCCGGCCGAGGCGCGTGGCACGGCGCACCTGGGAGCTCTGCGGCCGCGTGGCACGTCCCGGGCTGCGCTGCCCACGAGGGGTGGCTGCCGGGCAGCGCCGCGTTCCTAAAAAAACCTGAACTGCGTGTCTGTCTGTCAGCGCTTTGCTGCAGAGCCGTGCTAAAGAGGCTCTCCCAAGCCCCGGGCTGCTGGTGTGCCCCGCTCTCCTCTGAATGAGTTTCTCCGGATACCGCCCCGCTTTGCCGCTGCTTCCCCGCTGAACTCCCGCTGCCTGAAGTGCAGCGTGATGTGACTGCAGGCACTGAGGAGAGCCGTCCTGCCTCAGGGTTCCATCAGCCGAGATGATTAGTAAAATTAACAACTGGGGAACCAACTGCTGAAGTCTTCAACCCAGTTTTTGCTCATTTATCTCACTTTCCCTACACCCTTCCATCTTCTCTCCCTGGCTCTCAGGCAGGAGCTCAATGGGTGGAGCAGAACGGCCGCGGTTGGGCTGCCCAGCCATGCCACGCTGCAAAGCAGAGCCTAGCAGCCCACCTCATTATGTCCAGCTGGGGAGCCCCACAAGCTCAGTGTTTTTGGACACCTCTCTAGAATTAGGTGCAGTGGGTTGGGCAGGGCAACAGCTGCCCCCAAATTAGGTATGCTTACCAGAAACTTGCAGGAGAAAATGGTTGGCAGTGCAGCGTTTCCCCAGCACATGTGGAGCGGGTGTCCTGCAAGGAACAGACATGAGCCGGTCTGAGTTCTCTCTGGAAGAAAAGGCAGTCACCACTTTTATTACAAACTGTGTAAGTCACTTCAAATGTTACAGTGCAGAAAGGCAGTCTTAAAATACAGTTAGGCCCCACATACTGAAAGGCATACCTGAAAGTGCAGTTTTATAACTGATGGCATTATGAGAAGAGTCACAGTGAGGAATGTGTAGATACCACAGAAAGCAAAGTAGCCAATTTAAAATGAATCTGAAAGATTTCACATCCACAAGTTGGATGCGCTGAGCTCATTTCTGTAGCCATGACAGCTGCTGCCCATTGGCAAGCAGGACAGAAAGAGAGCTAGGGCAAAGGTGAGGAGGGAAGGAGCCCTTCTGCAGGCAGAAAGGCAGCTCAGCATCCAGCATCTCTGTGCCAATGCTCACTGCTGATTCTGCAGATAGAGGATTATGTGAGGTCTATGATGAGAGAACTGGACTCAAGTGGATTCCTCATTTAGGAAATCTTGTGACTGTAACGAGACTCACTTCACATACGACTGAGTTAACTTTATAGTTATAAAACATATTTTTAAAGGATTTATTTTCAACTAATAAACATGAAACACTTGTAACACATTTCATTTTAATCAACCAATATATTGGACCGGGCTCTGAGCACCTTGATCTAGCTGTACGTATCCTGTTCACTGCCAGGGACTTGGACTAAACAGCCTTTAAGGGCCCAACTCAATGATTTCATGTATAAAAATAGGAAAACAACATTTTGACAATATCAATTAGTAGCAATTGGTTAGATAGGATTAGATCTGGTTAGTTAGCTGCTTTTGTAACATGTCAGTGTTAGAGAGCTGCTGATCTCTGAGGTTTAGATGAAATTTAATTTGAAGTCTTTCCGCACTAGCAGGAGAATGAAAGACTCTGGTTTGTCAGGTGGTGCTGCATTAACTCCCAGCTGCACAAGTTTGTTTTAGGAAAAGTGATTGTGGCCTGACGGGAGAAGTGCTGAGAAATTGTATTTTCCACCTGTGAAATGCTGAGATCCTGGCAACAAAGGGCTGTCAGCATTCACTAGTAATGCTTGGCAAGAGCTAAATCTGGAAAAATATGAAATAGGTGTCCCTCTTTTGCAGATGTGTGTACTGACATACAGATGGCAAATGAGTTGGCTGCAGACGCGTAGTGAGTCAGGGGCGGAAAAGGGCGTTTGATTTGTTGCTTGCTTCTCTAACCACCCGCTCACATTCCCATCTCCAGGGCAATACATTTGTCTATCTCAGTCATTCTGATTCATATTGGTATTCTTACTGCTGTGGTTTCAAGTTTCACACACTCCTGCTACAAAAACAACTTTCTGCCTTTATTTATATTGGCAAAAGAAGAGACTATTTTGTTTTCATGAAACCTCTTTCTAAACATTGTTATCATTAACATGTTACTTATTCCTTTTAGTTTGCATTTCCGTAGGGTGCCTAAGCCTTGACAATACAAAAGCAGCAAAAGATGCAGTGAATGCTTGTAGAAGATTTGAAGGGTTTCACATAGAAAAGAGTTTAAATATGAACTAGAGGAGATCCTTGGGTTTAGTTTGGCCTACTCAATAAAATACTGCCCACATGAGACCTTACTGATGGCTTGGAGCTCAACAGCTGGAAAACACCACATCTTTCAATTCAGTGTGGGCCTAAGAAGACCTGAAAAGTAGCTGGTAGTTGTGATTCACATATTGCTTTTGGATGCAACACATACAAGCGAGATAACTCTTATATCAAGTTACAATGTCTCTTTCAGGACCAACTGGTGTAATGAGGGAAACAAACAAAATAAAACAAAATTAAAAAAAAAAAAAAAAGTAAAAGATGGGTCAGCTTTCATACGGGAAGGTCCTTCTTAATGATAAGAAGGCAAGTATCTGACCCTGAAAGCTGGTCTGGCGTAATGGAGACCCTGCCTGGCGCATGGCCCCTTCACGGCAAAGCCTAATGTTCCCCCCAGCGGCTGAAGCTGAGATCGCCATTGCTTTGGGAAGGGGAAAAGAACTGCTGGCGTGGCATGGGCTTGGCGACTCTGCAGGGTGTTTCATCGGCAGGAGGAGGCTGGGACTGAGCCCAGGTTATATGAGGTGAAAGAAAGCACTGTGCTAAGTGACAGCTATTTATTTTACAGATTAAAATTTTGTGGGCTGTTTGCCAAATTCCTCTTCAAGCCTTCCTCTGCAAAAGTTAGAGAATTTTTGATGTAAACTCTGCTTAACGGATCTGTCAGCTCAGTGTGTGCCCTGTGGAAAAGGATTTATGAATCTACTTTTACCCCAGAAGCAGTACAGCTGTAACTCAGGCACCAATTTTTAAAACCATACTGTGGATTGTTAAAGATGTACATGTGAAATGACACAAGCAGTTTTCCAGCCTTCCCTCACCCTGACCTTCTGGCCCAGAGTCTGAGGGACAGCACAGCACAAACAGAAATCAATTCTGTTTGAAATCAGAAATCAGCCCTGATGTCAGCTCAGCTGCGATCACCCCAAAGAATTAGACCTGAAAGGGGAGTCCAAATCTCATGGGGAAAAAACATGTGGAAGATGCTGTTGGGTTTAAGCAGTATATGACAGTAATCTTAGATATGGATTCCAAGGATATGAGAGATGACGTGGCAGGGAATTTGAGCAGATCCTCAGCTAGGAGAGGTCCGTAGATTTTGGGTGGAAGTGAGCACGGCTGTACTGATCCCAGTAAAGATCAGAGAAAACTGCAACGAAGCAGTAAACTGTGGAGGACCTCTGGTGGCTGAAATTCAAATTACATCCGTAAGTCATATTCCTGAACAAAAGTGGCTAGAACTGTTCAGTTGGCTCGTACAGTAGGTTATAAGAGCAGGAGCTGATAGGCGAGGCAAAACACATCGAGCACATTCAGAAACCAGCATCCCTGAGAAAACAAGCTTCGAGATAAATGATGTGACAACCACGATGGTGAGAAAAAACATAAGGCCAGGGAGAAGGAAAGAGTGCACGCAGCAACCTTCTACCAAAATGACCCACAGCAGCTTGCTGATGAGCAGAGCACAAGGTCTACAGAGAAGTGCTACAGGAGGTCAGCGCTCCACTGGAGGTGGAGAGGAAGTGAAAAAACACTTTCCTCCTACATCTGCCCTATCTCATACTGCAGGCTGTTATTGTTCTATGTTAAGGAACGGGAAGAGAAAAGCCTTTTCTTCCCATTTATCCCCAACACTCTTGCTGCTGGCTTCATGGCCAACATACCAGGCAACAGAATAAGCTGAAGGAGGAGAAAAGGCTCCAGGTGCACCGTTGTGTGATAGCAAGCACGTGCTGAGAACAGCAGCATTCACCATTAGCTTGACAGGTGCATTACCCCCGGAGTGGCTGCAGGCTGATAGAAGGGCATCAGAGATGCTCACACGGTTTCTGCTTGTACTCTGCCTGTTGTTGGCTTAAGCAAAAGATCTAATTTACAGGGATTTTATAAAAAAAATCCACATGAAACTCATGACAAAACAAGAAGAAGTGTTGCTGTTGTATGTTTGAGATTATTATAGATTTTTCTGAGATTTGAGATTAAAGCCAACTGTATTCCCAATAGTTCCCTATCAGCTGACTGAGAATTCAGTATGAAGACCTGATTTAAAGATAAGTCCTTCAGTGAAATCACTAATGAGCTTTATGATCTACATAAGTACAACTGCTATTTTCGACTAGCTACCTATAATGCTCTCAGAACATGGGGACTTTTCCCTATTCTTACAGTAACAATTACATTAAATTTTGTACATTTACTCCCAAACTATAATAGTGTAAAGAAGAGCAGGATGTGTCTCTTTATGCGCACCCACACCATCATTTCTAGAAGTTTAATTTTACCTGTTCCTCGTGTACTCCAGGGAAGTATATTAAGAGCAAATCATGCTTATTTCCTATCAGATGAAATTAAGACTTCTCAGCGAGAAGCTAACTCAGGTTTAACACATTAGAAAGAATAAATTATAAAACTTCTGCTGATTACAGAGAGCAATGAAATAGCATCAGTAGCTTAGATTTAAACAAAGATAAAAGCAGAATCTAATGTTTTCCAGAGAAAGCATCACTACTAGCATTTATTCTAACAGTGAATCAGTCATGGTAGCTGAGCTGAAATCGTCTTCATAATGATGGATGTTACTGCACAAATAGCAGAAATTCATATCCCAACAGTCACGGGCTTTTATTTCCCTTTGAAGTGGGAAAATACTGGAGAAATCTTAAAACTTTTTACTAAACCAATTTAATAGCTACATGATTTTTTTCTTAACAAATACTTATTTGTCCACACAGTTTGCTTTGCCAGTTCGTTTGACAAATTTTGCATTAAAAACCCAGTACATACTGTAATGTCATAGCCACACTCTAGGACATCAATGAGTCTATTTTAAGAAAAAGACAAGCAGAAATAATTACTAAGAAATGAGCAAGCTGGGTTTGTTTTTTTTTTTTGGTTTTTTTTTTTGTTTGTTTGTTTGTTTTATGTTGAGGGTCTATTTTGTTCTTGTGCAAAATTGCTTAGAATAGAGGGGCTTTTTAGAGTTTTTTAATATGTGCTTTAACGTGACCTAATTGAAAATTGTGCCTATCTGCTTACAACAACGCTGACTTTGGTGCTGCCTATTACCCACATGCCAGTCGGCACCTGTGCTCGCTGTCCCAGCCCAACAGCCCGGCTCACGGCAGCAGCGCAGCGGGAACGGAGCCGCCAGGCGGCGGGGCCGTTTCAGCACCGCGGACAGCGTCACGATCAGAGAGCGGCCCAACTCCGCGCCGCGGGGAGCCGGGCTCAGAGCGGGACAGGCTTGGTGCTTCCAAGGGTTACGCCGGTTCCTGCTTCCTCTGGAACAGGTATCTCCTATTCTGTTTCACCTTCGAGTCCAAAAGGCTCTGTACTGCCTCTGAAAAGCGTCTGAGAAGACGCTTAAAAAGTCAAGCATTGACAGCACTGTAACCTTAATGATGCACGGCACTATTGGTGCCGTGTAACCAGCAAACAGCCTGCTGCACTAAAGGTTGCAAGAGTAAATCACTAAGTAAATACAGTAATGTACAAAAAGCTTGCCTAAGAGTTTATTTTTTCCAAGCTTTTTCTGTGATAACATGCATGATATTTGAATTTCTTTTCATACCAGTTGGAAAGAAAAGCAGGTACTATGCTGAGTGGAAAACAATTTCTGATTTCTGCTTTAAATAAATGTTAGCTCTCAATTTCTCCTGAAGCAAACCATTACGAAGTCTAGCCTAGGATCAAGACCATACTTTGGTTTGTAGTCATTTTTTCTGTTTCTTTGCTTGTTTCTCAAATCAGAATTTAAGTTTCCCTCTATTCTCCTTCAGCCTATTGGATAAATTCTGAGGTTTCATATACTATTATCTCTCTGATAGGTTTCTTGAGTTCTGTACGTGACAGTAAACTACCCAGGACTCTGACGTAAACATTAGCAATGCCATATCTGTGTGCTGTAATGAAATACTACTGCAGAAGTAATAAGGAAAAAAAAACCAACGTTTTTTTCTGACATAAAAACACCTGTCAACATGATGAAAAACAAACAAACAAGCAAACAAAAAATGTCAGGGATATTTTCTTCCTGTATTTAATGTATTTACCTGTCATGGTTTTATGTTGTTGGGGTTTTTTTGGTTTTTGTTTTTTGTTTTTGTTTTCAGTATTCCGCATCAAAACATCATGTAGTGTACTGGGCATTAAAGTGTTAATGCCCCAGTTCCAGGTACCTATCCCTGCACATTACAGAAGTCATGGGATCTGGCCCTTCCGGGTGGGGGGTGATCTCTTACTGCCTGGCAGTGGGTGCTGGAGGCTGCTTTCCTGGCCATTTCAATCTCTTCAGGTTTGACTCAGTCTCGGGAACTCTCTCTCTCCTATCTTGTTTGATTTATTAGTCTCAATTTCAATTAAATTGTATTATATTGTGTTATCTTGTATTCCGGTATCATAGTAAAATTATAAGTTTTCCTCCATAGATTGTTGCCGCTGTTTTTTTCCTCCCTTCCTTCCTTCCCATTTTGTGGGGCTGGAGTGGGGGGGTGGGCAGGGGCTTATTGCCCCCCCCATCACAGGCATAGATTGATCTAGTCAACTCCGTGACATTACCTTACATAAGTGCCATTTTGCAAAGCTGCATGGTGACCACACAGGAAGCAAAGGAAAAAAGCACAGGGAGAAGTCCTTTACTTCCCCAGTGGGACAGCTGCCAACCTGAAGATCAGTCTTCGATTTTAGCTCTATCTATCTATCTGTTTATCTATCTATTTTCAGTTGGGAACAGTGACTATTAATTACCCCGTTTACTAAAATCTAATTACTTTTCTTCTTCACATCTGTTGGAAGAATAATGAAGCTAGTTTCACTTAAAATGCTATTGAAGTACTTACCAAAGGACTTGAGAATTTGCCTCATGAGGACAAAAGCACCTTCAGAAATGAAAATGCTGGGCTGAAAAGATATAGGAAAACTGAAATGAAGTTTATGGGTATTGGTTTTCATTTTAGGAACTGCACTTCCCTCAGTAGGACAGGTAACTTTGGGCCATTTTTTATAAAAACCTTCTATCTTTGATACACATATATATGGGCTGCTGAAAAGCAATGTTATCTGCAGCTTTTATCACGCAAATACAACAGATGAATTTTATCTGAGGTGAATAATAAACATATTGAGCTGCACTTTACAGACAGAATGCCTAATGGAAGGTTGCACCTTCACACATAACTATGTAACGCCTTATTTTCCAGATGATCATATGAAGGTCATAAAAAGATTCCAAGAGAGTGAGTGGATAAATTTCTTCGTGAGCCAGTAGTAGAGATAAAGCACACAAAACAAAATGCATGTGCAAACACAGGCAACTGAAAAACACTGAATCATAAAGTTACAGCTTAATAAGGAAGCTGATAAGTTAAATTCATAATGCTGTATTTTCCTAACAAGTTGCAAGGAAAGAGAGCAAATTGGGTAGTCCACAGATCCATTAGAGAGGAATGTTTGTAGCAAACAGAAGACAAAAGTACTGGGCTGAGAAAACAACTTGTTTGAAACTGAATTCTTGTTCCAGTAAAAGAGGGATGGAATCAGAGGGAGAAAAGCAGGAGGGAACGAACAGGCACGAGTCGCTTGAGATACAAGACTTCAGGTTAAAATGAAAGGATTGGAACAAACAAGACAGCACATACCTCTTTTTCCGACTATTTCACTCTTGCCTGGCACACACTCCACCACCAGATGGCCTCATAATAATCGGTTACTAGCTTCAAAGACCTACGGGCATTTGAATCTGTTAAATTTCCAAAGCTGTGCCAAAAAAATATATGCTTCTCCAAAAGCCTACCCATATACAACTGAAGTTTGAACAGCTCCAGGTTCAAGTCTGGATTAGAATTCAGGTCTCATGTCCTGCAACCTTTGGATGTAGGACTATGGTTCAGTCTTATTAATATGAAAGGTATAACAGTGATAAGAAATTCACAGTACAAATAGGAATATAATCTGGGTCAAACCTGAGTTCACTCTTTCAATCCATGCAACACTCCCAAGTTCACAGGACTGGACACAACTTAGGGCACCTTGCTTCAGGAGAGATGGAGACTGCCTGGAACTGCAAATACTTCAATCGGAGCAGGAAAAAAATAAAAAATAAACAAATCTGTGAAACACAGCCCGGATGCTAAGCCTGAGAAAAGGGGCTTGATGAGCTGCTAAAAAACAGCTTTGTCAGTCAGCTGCAGGCAGCAATAGGTGGCAGGGCCAGGAGATAAAATCAGGAACGTAGTAGGGGATATCGGTGCCAGGAGCCAGCAAAGAACAGCTAACAAATTCTGGTACAGATAGACTCCTGGGATCGATTTCAGGCTCACTTTCTACAACTTCACTTTGCTGAAAGATTCAAGGGAGTTAACCATCAATCTGGCAGATACCTCCAGAAAAGCAATCTGGAACCGCACTGTATGTTATTTTCTAAGACTGCAAGTTTTCAATTCATATACAGAACGTATAGAACAACCTACATACAAAATAAGTAGCTTAAATAGCTATTTCAGAGCTGTTATTTATTTATATCTGTACAATTTTAGAAAGACAAAACATTCTCATGAACTCCTAAACCTGCAGTTTGCAGAACACGGAGGCAAAATCTGTTTTGGATACAAGTAAAAATGAAAAAGCCGAGAGGAATGAAAAGCTTTGGCACAGACTGCAATAAATGCCTAACTTGTAGCATGCAGTCAGCTGCCAGCACTGAGACGGGATAACTCCTGAGCATCACATGCTGTGCAAACAAGAGCAGCAGGAACTCACTGAGTAAATCCAAATTCTGATGGGGTATACAGCTAAGCGGGTGTCTGGCTTGGCATGTCAAGAACCCTACTACAAAGAAAAGCACTGTTATAACCCTTAATTTAAAAATAGAAAACCTAAAGGGCACTACCTGTAGTAGTACTCGCTATGGAGCAAGGCAAAAAAATTCTAAACAAACAAAAAAGCAAAAATGTTAATCTCAGCATTTCGGATAAGAATCAAATGAATTAATAAAATTAAAAAAAAAATTCCCTTGTTCTTCTTACATAATGCTGTCTTTCTGCAATAGAATGGACCCAGAATCAATGTCTTCAATGGCCAGATGTCAAGTGGATTTCCTCCAAGTTTTGTTACTTTACTTTTATATTCTTATCAAAAGCTAGCAGTGGCCCTCCAAGGGGGTCACTTATCATGTAGGGACAACTGGTGACAAGTCTTAAATCTCTGGAAGTAAACAGAATTCAAGAGGAAGGCAATCCTAAAATAGGAGGGTTTCCTGGATTTCCTCATTTATCATTAACAGAAGCCTCTGAGACTTGATAGTGTTGGTAAACCCCAAATTATCTTTCACCCTTGGCTGATAAATCTGAATGGAAGGTAAGCCCATTTTCAGGGGGAAAATAACATGGTTTCAAAACCTCTTTCACTTAATAATCACAATTCACCTTATATGAATATTTCCTTTGTGGAGCAGGTGCCCTCACACAAAAAGAACTGGTGCTATACATCCAACAACTTGCACCTGGCAAGTTGTGCCTGAGTAAGCCAGCATCTGCAGCACCTGCCTGCTGGCCCCCAGCTGTGGGAACTCAGCAGGACTCCAGGTGAATGTGGAGGAGTCTGGAAAAAAGTGTGGGGGGGGTGTGGGGGGGGTGTGGGGGGTGAGGGGGGTGGACAACACAATCAGTGAGGTGGGATATTAGTCATAGGTTTGTGTATATATAAAGGCTTTCCCTAAAGCTCTGCTAAATTACAGAGTTACAAACTGGAATATGCTTACCTGGCTTCAGGTACTTGTGCTAAGTTCTTCTCTGAATTCCAGCAACATCTGAACTGTTGTACCTTTGATGGGAATGCTGAAAACCGTGTCTAAGTTTGTTAACAACATCTCTTTGGAGGAGAATAGTGAAGACTTTTCAAAAAAACCCTTTCATCACAATAAGCACTAGTATGTCTCCATGGAAAGCTCTGGAAGGATCTGTCAGGTGCAACGCAACACGAAGAAGCACGCCAGCAGTTGTGAACAAAAGTGATAACAGATAGTGCTGAAATTGTGATAAACTGGTTTCTTTTCACTAACCTGATCCAGTGATGCATTGCTCATTTTGAATCTGCTGATTCACTTTAATTTCAATCAGTATACCGACTGAGATTTATGATCACTTGTGCTTTTTCTGTAAAAACAATTCTTATTAGCAGCTGCACTGTAACTGTACACCTGTGTATATTCAACACCCGAAACTTCCAAGAGGGCCTCCTTCAATTTCAGGCACTTCTATCACATAAATTAGCCATCTATTTTGATTTGGTTTGCCTTACATTAATTTATGTAAGCTGTATGACATCAACTTTTTTTTTTAATCATACAGCATGATCTGGCATATCATTCTGGGAAGGAGATAAGAAGTGTTATGATAGAGACAAGACAGGAAAACTGGAGACTGTAGAGACTATGTCTTTTGACATATTAGCATTCTGAAGTTGGAAGCAGTCATCTCCCAGCTATGAGCTGTGTCACCTGAACAATGACTTGCACTAGTAAAATTTATTTTTTTTTCCCCTTGATCAGAGGACATTCAGTGTAGTTGCAAGAACTTGAAGTTTCATTGCTCATACTGTTCACCTGTAGTAATCTTTTATTCTGTTGGCAGCAGCACTGCATTGGGAAGTTCTCTGAACAAGAAACCACTACTCATCAGTTGCCTGTTATTTTAAGATGCGTTCAAAATTGCACGTAAAATTAAGACTATTCATGGACAGAATCACTGATACTTTTTTTTTTTTTAATTGAAGGAAATGTCTGTTTAAGGAAATAACTGATGACATGGTCTCTGTTGTAGATGGACATCAGTCAACCACGGGATCTCTTATACCTTCACAAAGACTTGAGGGAAAGCAGCATTTGATTTTGCAAGATTTTTGCTTCTCTTATTTTCCCACCTTAGCTTCGTATTTTATCCAAACTTGAATGTCCATTAATACTTCCTCATTCTTCCAACTCTTCCCAAAATCCTGTGAGACAGCTTTATATTAAAGTACTGAAGAACTCAAATGGCTTTTAATTGTTGTCCAATAGCTTGTGGCTACGTTGATTTGATGGAACAGTCCTAAGCGTTGTGGTTTTTCTTTAAAAACAGATGTTATTGAGAAGGATGAACAAATGGATTAATGTATTAACTCACTACCATTTATTACAGTAATTAGGTATAAAGCATAGCAACAGTTATATCACAGACAAATATAATGATAAATCAGAAGATCAATTATAGCAATCCTCTACCCCTTCTAATCTACTCTGAGACCTGAGCCTCTTTCCCCTCCATGCTGCCTTCATCCCTGACCCATCTGAAAGTACCCAACTTCCTCCCAGGAAACCAATACCCAGAGTTAGAGCTGAAATGAATGAAGTTCCCCAGACATTCTTCTCCTGCAAGCATAGGTGGGAGCCAGTTCAGCCAGGAGCCTCTATTCTGGATAGTACACTTGTAGACAGGAGAGTGCAAGAAATTTCTCTACCAGGTCATCAAGAGGTAATTGTCTTCTCCTTTTCACCATTAAGTGTACAGGTGTCTTGAAGTTCTTTCAGACTAATTAGGATTAGGTCGAGAGCCTCCATCAAGTTTTATTATATTGCAGTACCAAGGATGAAATAATGGTAAGTCTTTTAATTGGAGAACTTAAAAGGCTATTTTTAAAATGAGCCCTACGAGTCACCTGGAGAATAAACCAAGTGGCACGGTCTCCACTGACAGCACAAAACAAGTCACCAACAACTCTGAAATACTGCAGAGCTCGTGTGCTCCTGCCTCACCGAACAGCAGCTCTTGGAAGGGAGAAAATGTGGATTATTTGCAAGCTGAGAGGTAGAAATGTAGTGAGCTGGATTGAGCAGGAACAGAGACCTGCAGGAGAATGTTACAGCAGCCTTTACAAGGTAATGGCCTTTTTTTTTTTTTTTCCCTCTATTTTCCAGCAGTTCAACTATCATCCTCCTTCTGTTAGTGCTGATACACAACTGTTCTTGTACACTGCTTCCTTCCAGAATATCTGAAGTTGTATGTGCACACTTACATCCTCCATGATTGTTGTTGAGATCCACATCAGCTAGACATAATTACAGCAGCAAGTAGTTCCTGGAAATTTACTGCATACAGTTTGCATATAGATAAATGCTAGAAGTCTGAAAGTCTGTCATGAATAGCTACAGAGGTTTTTCTGCATCAGTAGCCCCCAGTTACTGACTAGCATTTGGTGACAAATGAATTACCCATCCATTTTCTGTCACCACTGTAGGAAGAATATATATGTGATCCCCTGAGAAAGAAGAAGTAAGAATAGAAAGCCACCCATGCATAACAGCACGAAATTGGTGAGGAGTGTTAACACAAAAGTACTGACAAGCAGATACCTTCATCAGTATCATTTCTTCAAACATTTCCTAGGCTGGCTGGTGGTGGCAAAAAATTCAAGTACCTGTGCCGAAGCTTACAGCTCTGGAAGGAGTTATCATGCAGAAGAAAGTTATCAAGCAAATCTTATTTTCCCTCTTTTTTCTCTTCATGATCTGACAAAAGATAGGAGTAGTATATAGCTGGAGATGGCACTAAATCTGATTCAGGAAAGACAAAGGCCACATCCTTTTGTGCAGACTGAACTTCAATGGGAATTCTTTTTCAGCTTCCTCTGCCTCAGCACAAATAAAATAATTTAAAAACTTTATAAAGTACAGGCTGTCCAGAGAGACATGAATGTTGGGGGATAATAGGACTGTAGGGATACCAAATATGATGATTCAGAGCCATGAATCATTGGGAAGAGAAATACAAGATTTTAATTTTTTAAAGTTGTTCTGCTGAGCTTGCTTAGGCTTCTTGCTTTGGATCCTTTCTTTGCCAAAGCTGTCCAATTTATGAAATAGTTATCCATTCAAGAACTGCAAGACATACTGAACAGCAATCCTGGCTTTATGTACAATCAGCCATTGCGAAGGGCTGCACACACCCTCTTCTGCCTCTACCTCTTTCCATGGTCTGTCTCCAGCTGATGACCAATATATCACTTGAACTTCTCTTTGGAGTAGACCAGCCCTAAATCCCACTGACTACACAAGGAGCCCTCCCAATAATTCTCAGGAGTTCTCAGATCGTCCACTTTTTCCAATCTCCTTTTAACTATTCTAGGCCATTCTGCTGTCAGGAATGGCTACACAGCTAGTAAGCTCCAGTGCAATTAAATTATCTTGTTCTTTTCTGTGTAATAAGCTGTGAACCATCACTGGATCAAGGACTAGCCTGGCCAGTCTTTGTTTATTTGCAGATACAGATGGTAGGAAATAAAATCTCTTAAATCTCACTGTTAAATGCAGTTAAAGTTTGCTCCAGAAATCAGCATTGCCTAAAGTGAAATTAATGGAAAATTTCTGAAAATAGTTACAATTGACATGATAGCAAATCATTTTCAGTGGGACTAGGTTTCCAAAAAATAGGGCAAAAGTACTTAACAGATCTCCCTGATCTAAAAACAAAAGCCACTTAAGACTGGAAGAGATGGATTATGTTTTAAATGGCTTCTCACACACTCTTAATTGTTTCCCTCACCATAACTCTGCAGTTAATTTGCATTCATCTTTCTGTGAGGTGAGAAAGCAACAGGTAGAGCCTGTTATATATCACCTTCACCTAAGTATCATACTCAGGTAAGTCTCCAAGGCTCATGATCTCCAGCAGCTACAGATGTGAAAAGCCTGAACAGTGTCACCCCTTTGTTGACTGGCTGATTAGTTGGAACTAAGTACTTTTGGAGAATAGGTCAGAGCCACATTCCCACCATAACTTCAGATCCTGCACCACCTCCATTGTACAGTCTAGAAAGTACCCCTAATTTCATCTCTAAGGAAGACATTTTTTAGATTTTCCTCTTAGATCAGATCATCATATCCACAAAGGTGGTAAAAAGAATCTGAAGACACATAAGTGGAGACCTGCTGGACTGCAGCTGAAGATGCTGCTCGATGGAAGAGGCTGGTATGTTGCAGGAAGAGCACTGCCAGAGAGGAATATAATCAGGTATTAAGTTCTCTAACACAGGTCCAAGTATCTGAAGTTATTTGCTTCTTTCCTACAGGATTCATGTTTGAGGCTTTTATAGACAGAATGGTTTAACACTGAAGTATATTATCTATTGCTTTATGTCTTTTTCTTAAAAAAATATCGTTTTAATAAAAAAATTCTGTAAAATACTAATTGTGAAGAACAGCATTCTTCACCCTTCTCTCTTCTTCTACCATCCGACTAAAAAAATCTTTTACAAGCAGCCTTTTTGAAGCAAACATATCTATATGATTATCAGAAAGAAAAAAAAATCATATAGCTAAACACTGTACTACAGATCAAAGCACAGATTTGTTATGAGTGCTTACAACGAATAAAACCATGTCTCTAAACACCACTAAAATTGCATCTTCTGTAATATACCTATCAATCAAGCACCTTTGAGGACAAGTTCAAGCTCATCTTGTATGAATGAAAATTTTCACTGTTTAAGCTGCATTAATGTCACAGTTCTCATATTTCAAAGTATAGTTGAACAAGAGAAAATCCATTTGATATAATTTTTGTATCTTCTCAATTTGTTCTGAGCTCAATTGTCTGAGGTACTCCAAGGTGATATCACTATTAGTTCGTTTCTCTGAGCCATATCTCTTCAAGCTGGGGTACTGCAGGCTCTCTGGTGCACCAATTGCCTTCAGAACTTGCACAGAATCTAACCCAAGAGTTTCGTATTTGCCCAGAATATCATAGTGAATGTTGCAAGGATCACAGAGTAGAAACATTGGTTTCCAGTGAATGTCAAGAGTATTTGGTGGTTTCACTGTAATGAAACTGACAAACTCCTGGAAACTCACTTTTGCAGAGGAATTTTTGTTTTTCCTGAACATTGCCTTAATCTGATCAGCAACAATGGTACTATAGTATGGCTCAGAGTGCAGAAGCTTGTCTCTGTAAGCCGACACCAGCCGTTCCAATGGATGCCTGGTGAACATCACCTTGGTGTAATTGTTTAGAAATTCCTCTTGCACGGCAGGAGGGTAAGCACTCAGCCTTTTGATCAGTGAGGTTTGGTGAATATGGTCATGCTCAATTTCAGAAGCTTCCACATTCAAGCCTTCTTGGAGAATGAAAATAGTTCTCTTCCAGTTAGAGCAGCCTACTTTGGGCACCTCACAGTAGGTAAATTTATGTTTGTGCTCCACAAAAATCTGGCTTGCAACAAGAGAATCCAATGCACTTTTTAATTTAATGAGGTTGTTCTTCTGGCAGAGGGAAGCCAGTGTGTTTCTGCGATCAGTTTGAATTGTTAGCCAATCTTCAGTGAGACCAGGAAAAGAATCTGCAACTAAGGAAGAAGTTTAAACTGTTAGTGTGAAATACACATAACCTTTTCTTGGTGTAATTATCTAAGAATTACCTATGTCTGTCTCCCTGCATACATAAACAAAAAAGGATTTTAAAATCAATCTTTGTTGTCATCTGACTTTAATGCAGCAAACATGCAAAAAGCTATCCTGCTTAGTGAAAAGTTCATTAAAATGAAAACTGTCAACCTGTTAGCCATACTACTCTGAGGAGGGTGTTCAAGCACTTTAAAATCAAACATTTTTTGTAGCTTTCTTCCCAAACATTACTAAGACAGTTATCAGAGTGACAGCAGATTTTCTTACAGTGAGCTTCATAATTACTTTCTAACACATTTAGGAAGGGTAGACTTGCTTCTAGAAACTGGTTATGCTGGTAAATTCTTTACTCACCCATTAGATTTTTTTGTCTTCTACAGAAAAACCCAAAAAGAAATATCCCAAAAATGAAATTTGGGAGAAGGAAAATTAATGCCTTCAGATTCATAGTATTTTCACAGGAAGGAAGATGAAGATACTTCTAAACTGGAAATCTGCCTTTTTGTCAACAAGGAAACATAACACAGGTTAGATTTTGTAGGACTGGAACAGCAAAAATGACATTTCTTACCGATTTTAGTATGAACAACATGAACAAATACACAGTTACATATATTAACTATTTACTGGTGTGTACATTAAACTGTTACAATATTTATGCAAATGAATGCAGCATTTTTACACATTGGTTACATTCTATGGCATGTAGCCAATATTTTTGCATTTTCTTGGCTGCAAAAGATCACTCTAAAGACTGCAAGAAAACATAGAATTTGATCTTTGACTTTCAATATTTTCTCAACTCCATCTCAACTCTCCCTTCATCATGTGTTCTATTGACAGAGAATCAAAGAATCACTAAAATCAAAAAAGACCTCTCAGATCATCTAGTCCAACCGTGCACCTACTTTCAATATGCATCCAACTAAACCATGTCCCTTAGTACCAAGTCTACATGACTCAACCATCTCCCTGGGCAGCCTGTTCCACTGCCTAGTCATTCTTTAGAGAAGAACTGTTTCCTAATACCCAACATGTGCATGTATACATATGTATGAGGGTTGCTTTAGAAGTAATGCCTCCTGTTTTATTATGTTGGCCCACAGCACCAGAGGTGGATGTTGGTGGTAGAGTTTGAACCTTCCCACCGACATTGCATTACATTTTGTTGCTGTGTGACAGATGGCAGCAGAGGGGCAGTCTGACAAAATGATGTCTGATATGGAATTGCGTACGAAGAAAAGATGCGGAATAGAATTCCTCCATGTGGAAAAAACTGTACCCACTGACATTCATTGATGCTTGCAGACTATTTATGGAGACCAAACAGTGAATGTTATCACAGTGAGGCAGTGGGTGGTGTGTTTCAGCAGTGGTGACAGTGATGTGAAGGACAAGCTACGATCCAGATGGCTAAGTAGATTTTTATGAGCGGGGCATGCAGGCTCTTGTTCGCTGCTGATAAAAATGCATATCTAATGGTGGTGACTACATTGAAAAATAGCATTTTTCAATGAGAGATTTCAATAGAGAATTTGCTCATTCGAATAGTGTTAATGTGGTCTTTGTATTTGTTACAGTTTCCGTGGAAATAAGTAGGAGGCATTATTTTCAGAGCAACCTACGTATTTTTAAACAATATGCACATCTATGTGTTCATATACACAAATATATGCATAGTTCAGGAACATATTAATAATAGTTACATTGGCATATTATTTGCTCCAAGTAAACTAACCAAGTGGGTTGATAAGGATATATAGTCTCCAGGTGATAAACTTGCATAGGTGTGTCTCAAGCTAACTTTTTGGCACAAGCAGATCTTGGCCACACCTGAGCATATGGGTGATCTTCTGCACTCTACTAGAAGATAAGTGGGACTTTTCAGATTAGAAGAATGAAAAGGCAACATTACTTACGTGTGTTCGTGACAGATTCGAAGCCACAGGTGAAGAAAGGTATCAGTAGGGCCAGTCACTGGAAGGCAGGGAAAATCTCTGTAAAAAGATAACATTCTCAGCAGCTATGTTTCTTTCTCTACTTACGCCCCGCTAACCCCATTGAAAAGACAAATGCAAATACATGCATACCTATATGTGTGTAGGTACATAGCAGGTGAGGACAGGATGATGCACAAAAAAAAAGAACAGGAAAAAGCAAGCTTTGCTGGACACAGTTCTGAGCGTGCCCCTTGATCACTCAAATCTACAGCCTACCCATTCCCACTGAATTTGTTATGGATGGACAGGAGGAAAGGAGAGCCTAGTAACAGGAGTCTCTGCAGGTAGGCTTCCCTTTTCCATGAAGTGGAGAATCATTAGTGGATTAGGAAATTTCAGTAGGCTGCAAACTGCCAAGGGCTCATTGCATCTGATCGGGCTCCATGTGGGATCAGCCAAAATTCAAGTCATATTTCTAAAAATGTTGTTCAAATGTTTCTTGAACTTGAGCAGCTTCAGGCCATGACCACTGCCCTGGGGAGCCTGTTCCATGCCCACCACCCTCTGGTGAAGAAACTTTCCCTAATACCTAGCATGACCCAACCCTGATGCAGATCCATGCCATTCCCTTGGGTCCTGTCGTTGTTACCAGAACGCAGATCTCAGCACTACTCCTCCATTGCCCTCGTGAGGATCTGCAGGGCACCAAGAGGCTTCCCCTCAGTTTCCCCTTCTCTGGACTGAACAAACTAAGTGATTTCAACTACTCCTCATATGTCTTGTCCTCTAGACCCCAAACACCTTCACAGTACTCCTTTGGACATTCTCCAAAAGTTTTATGTCTTACTTTGTAGTGCCCAGAACTGCACCCAGTTTTGTTCAAGGTGAGGCAGCATAGCACAGAGCAGAGCAAGACAATCCTTCCCTTTGCCCAGCTGACAGTGCTGGGTTCAGTGTGCCACAGGGTACAGTTGGCCCTTTTGGCTGCTAGGGCACACTGCCAACTCAGATTGAACTTGCCATCAACCAGAACTCCCAGATCCCCTTTTGCAAGGGTGCTCTTCCACCTTTTGTCCCAGTCTTTATGTATATCCAGGATTGCCCTCTCTCAGGTACAGAATCTGGCACTTGCTTGCTATAGAAGAACAGGTACAAACTCAGTGCGGGGACAACACAGGACCTGGACTGAGAAGGAGGCTGACAGGGAAATCCTACAGAAAAGTACACCTCACTGCAGTGAGACAGGTACAACATCACAATTTCTAGCACACGCACATAGATAAGTCTCATTCTCTGCTGCTGTCATATCAGACCTTCATTACTGTAGCAGGTTTCTTTCTGGCCTCAGCAACTGCAGTGCAACACTCCTCAATGCCATCATTAAGCTGCTCGTTGTTTTCATCACATCATCATTTTACATCTACTAAATTCTCCTTCCCTATTTCATATCCTTGTCTTCCAAGACTTTTCCTAACTTGTTATTTCTCATGCAGAATTAAAAGCACAACTTTACCTTCTAATCAGTCATATCACTAGCCCCCATTAAACGCTGCTTTTTTTGCTATTTTCCCTGTTGCCTTCTTTCTCTGGAAGAAGTTTCTGAAGTATATACAAATTGAGTGCGTTTTTTACTTAAAATCACTCCTTAAAATCTTCCTTTTCTGGGATGCCAACACCACTCAGGCTGCCAGTACGCTAAAACTGTTACCAACCACCACACAAAAGAGCAAGCACAAACAAAACCCAATCTGGGAATGAAAAGAACCAAAGCAATGAAGAAAAAAAGGAGGACACAGGAAAAAACAGCAGAGTCTGACAGAAAAAATCCCAGTCAGGGAGCTGCAATGTGAGGATGTATGGAGGAACTGGGGCCATGGGAAACAGAAACTCTGTGCAGCCTGATCAAAAGGTGCTGTGGGAAAGGGAGGCTGAGAAAGGGGGCAGAAAAACCACAAAAGTAGTTCTATGAAGATGGAGAAGAACAAATATCAAAGAAGATTCTGTCAAGGAGCAGCGAAGGACAGCTTTTCCCATAGGGACGGGCAGCAATGACAACACAGCCAGCATGGCAGGGCCTCATCCATCCCCCTCTGCCTCTGAACACCAAAGACCTGGAATTGGCGGCCAGCTTCAGCCAGTAGGATCATCAGGGAGGGCCATGGTGACAAGGTCCTAAGAGTGGGGTTGGTTGGGCCAGGCCTATGGCCAAGCAGGTCTCTGGGGTGCTGGAGCCCAGCCCTTCTGCAGCATTGATGGGGCAGGGGCTGATGGCCCAGAGGTTGATGTTCTGGCCTTGGGCAGAGTGGAGAGAACCTTGGGGGTGTGCAAGGTTAGTCAGGGCCCTGTTCGTACTCAGGACCTGGCAGACCATGTAAGAACAAGATTTTTATCTTCTGCCTGGATACCTGGTAATGGCTGCTGGATCTTCTTATGTAAACCGCTAATTCAAAATCCCAGTATGCATCAACAGTCACACCATGGGGGAGTAACTACTTTTTCTTCTTTGGAATCTAGATGAGCCTAAGGAACTTGCAAAGGAGGAAGAAAAGGAAAAAAAGAGTATAGAAGAAAACCTTAGAAAATGGTGCATGCTTGTTTAATGGGACATCTGTCCTCATAAAATCCCTGTGTTTGTTATTATACCAATTACTAGGTATTACTATAATTACTAGGTCTTCGGTTTCCTGACATACCATGACAAGGTATGCTAAGAACATTTGCAAATATGGTTCCAGAGCCTGCTTGGGTACCCAGAAAATGGAGAACAGAGCATCACCCAGACTCTGAAAAGCTGGGTGTCTCAAACCACACAAGAACATTCTGTCAGATAATTCAAATTCTTACCATAGTTTCCTGATTCACTGCAAAACTTCCCCCTTTTACCCTTTTGCAGGAAACCTACTGCACAGCCCTAGAACATATCTATCACCTGTGAACTGTATACCAAATTGAGCATAATAGCACGTTTCTTTAAACAACAACATGCAACTATGAAAAGCTATTGAAAAACGTCTTAATGCAGCATCATAATACCATGCACAAAAATCACTGTTAGTGATAACTTATCAACCTTGGTCATTCTTGTGGTACTCACCCTGATAGAATAACCAATAGTGCAGCAGGTTATCTTCTGATCAAGCCTGGGGTTGAAAAGGATGAGACCCAAGACCATCAGAATTGTCTGCTGACAGCAACAAAATAGTGAGATTCAGGCATGCTGGATGTCATTCCTGTCACTGGTGGAGAGTGATCCTTAGCACAAATTCCCCCTGCTTCCCTCACCGTCTCTATTTGCATGACCTGCTCAGATTCTTCCAATTCTGGTACCTCAAAATCCCACTTGCTTGCACTTTACTCCCAGCACTGCCTTCCCCTCCTGCTGGACAAAGTATTTATACAGGCACCAGTGATTGTCCCTCAGCCATAAGCCCAGGTGGGCCCCCCTTACTCCCCAGTCCCCATCTCCAGTTCTCAAGCTTTTAACCCAGTGTCAGCAAATCCTCACCTCATCTCCAAAAGGCTTCTCATATAATTCCCTGTCAGTTTGCGAATCCTGGCTTCCAGCTTCCCAGATGCCCATCAGGTCTCATCCTGATGCTGATGTTCAGCTTTCCCCATGCATGAACAAGGTCTTTGCCTGCTCTAACTGCCAAACTACTCCCTTAATTTCCTCAGTCAATCTTACAGTCTCCCCACCCACAACACTTCTGAGCCCAGCTCTTCAGATCTGTCTCTCCTTCCTCTTCCAAACCTCCTACACAGCCTCACTGCTTCTCACTTCTGAGGTCTGTAAGCACATCCCATGCTGTTCTTTACCTTTTCTAGCAAATTTAGTATCTCCCAAACAAAAAATGACAAATTTTCTTTTCCATTCCCTCCCACACCAATTTTCTCACTGCCTTTCAAGGCAGTTTCTTTCCACTGATTTCATTCTTTGAATCTATTTTGCCAGTTATCCTCAGCACTTCCCAAAAACATCTTGCTCATGCTTGCCTTGCTATTTAAATGGGGTGGCTTACTTCTCAGCTTACTTCCCTGTGCCACCTCAACCCAGCTAAGGTTTCTCTGAGAATATACATCACCTCATTTTTAAATGCTTTCTGCAACATCTGCAGAATACCTGAAATTTTCAGAGGAAAGGTTACCAGAACCACTTGATGTGACAAAAAAGATCAGTATAAAAAGGCTATCAGCTATTTTTGCTGAAAGGCTTTTAAAAAAAATAATACCCACAGGCAGATATCCAGCACAGAAAAATTCTGCTTGAACACTTGAAGTTTGACAAAATCCTATGCAACTGTAAATTGTATTGAAATAAGAAGAGTCAAGATGTGTTTTATCCTTAGCAAAGCCAGAAAATGAACAAAAGCCATTCTCTCTTCAGACACCAGAATCCCTGCAGCATCAAATTTTAGCTGTGTGTTCAACTTCTCTGTTCTCGAGAGAGGTAACAGAATAAAAAACAGACAATTAAAACCCCTCTGTAGATGCACTTCATCATGGCATGATTTCAAAAGCTCAGAAACGTCCCAGTTTGTTTACTGAGATTCCATGGCAATTTCTGAATGCATAAATTAAAAAAATAAAAAATAAAAAAAATAAAAAACAATCCAAAGAAATCTTCCTTTGTACAGATTCAGCTACACCATGAAAATCAAGGTAACATGAAAACAGACCAGCAAACAAATTTTACTTTACAATCAGACAACCTCAGTGGGGATTACTGTTACTTGAAGGAATGAAAAAATAGAACAAGACTCAGAGAATGACAAGCAGGTCAAAGAGACATGTATTTCACTTTATGCTCGTGTCTGCAAAGAAAAGGGAGAAAAGTTCTATATTCTTCTTACCTGAATTTCAGGCCAGGCAAGGTGCTTCTGTACGCACACAGATGCCTTCCCAGGGGAAGCGTCTGAAACACCCTGCATATGTATTTATCCTCTTTTTGATGGAATGCTCAGCTAAAAGATGTGACTGTTTCCTTCTGAATGTTTAGGTGATCATCTCAATTTGTATATTACAAAGCAGTGTGCTGTGTTTGTCTCTGGGTGTAACGAACAGCATTTAACCACCCCCTGTGTATGGTCTACAGCAGCTTTCAGAGCCTGCCAAGTACTTGAATAGCAGCCTGCCAAGAGGCTGCCTGCTAAGCAACCAAGAGAGAGGATAGTTGGGAACATGAGGGTAAAGGTAATCTGGTTGAAAAAAACTGTGGTGTGATAATGTATGTTACTTTTAGATAAAGAAAAAGAGCAACAGCAATTCAAACCCCATGACTCTATGCAAGTAGATTACAATAAACCCTGGGATACAGCAGGTAATTTCTCAAGGGAAACATAGCTAAGACAGAAGGAATTCAGCAGAGTTGGCAGTTGCTTAAAGAAATGATGTTTAGGGTACAAGCACAAACAATTGCACACAGTAGGAAGATAGGAAGTATGGTCAGAGACCAACTTGGCTAAACAACATGGTCTTCAATGACCTGAAACACAAGAAGGAGAAGTACAGAAAGTGGAAACCAGATCAAACTGCTAAGGACAAGAAAGAACAGCATGAAATAATGAAAAAAATCAGAAAGGATAAAGCACAAATTTAACTGCCAAATGCAACAGACGTAACGGATAGCAAGACAACAATGAAAAAGGAAAAAAAACCAACAGTGATAGATCACTTACAGAAGGGTAAAGTACACTGAGCATCACCTTTCATAAGGGGGGATCTGTAAAGGTATAACTAAACCAAGTATGAAAAAATCCTTGTAGAACAGGAAAACAACAGGTTTGACAATAATTTGGAAAGACTTCAACTCACCTCAGGTAGGTCTCTACAGCACATCTCCAAGAAAGCTCAAGTCTCGCTCAACAGTGACAGGAACCTCAACTCCAGACATAGATATCTATTTTATAGGTAGCTAAATTAAGGTGAAATTAATCCCCTCCATAGTGAAGGCTAGGCCTGAGGAACTGCACTGGCGGATACCCTGAGAATACAGTGAAGCAAATTTGGAGCTGTTAGTTTCCTCTCTGAAAATTCACAAAGTCACGCGAAAAAATTGTGATGCTCATCTTTTAAAAGCCAAGAAATGAGAAAGAGATCAATTTGGAAAAGTCTCGGAATTAATAACAAAAGAAGTTATTCATAGAAGGTTTAGAGGTAATTTTAAAAGCTAGTAGCTGACATGCCAAAAATATAAAGTAATTTACTTTCTATAAAAGGGTAAGAGGTTTCAAATACAGGAGAAGCAGATCATACAACTTGTTAATTTTCATGCTATTCACATTGATTGCTAACATTTTTGTAAGTAAATTGTAAAACATAATGAAAGTACTTTAGAGGGAGTACAAAACTACCTAGGAAAAGCAACCTTTATAATTCATTTATCATCGTTTGTTTTCAAACTGCAAAAAAATATAATCAATGAGATTCCAGCTGTGCCTGTTCTAGGCCAGGTATGTTTTCGTTAATGACGCATAAAGGAATGATCCTTCAACCGTGCAGAAAACACAAAGCCTAGATGAATAGCAAACCCATTTCATGGTTTGTTAAATGCTGAATGCTCTTGTCAAATAAGAAGTTTGTAAGGGAAAGAAAAAATAGTGCACTACACTTGTCTTTACAAGTGGGAGGTCCTTAGTGGGACTAATACTTTGTAAAGACGTAGGATTGGCAGTTACCAATGCCACTTAGGCAGCCATTGCATCAAAAAGGCCTGTGAGAGTTGTAGTCTGTCTGAAGCTATACATTTTAAACTGACTTGACACTACTACAAGAAAGCAAATTGCATATTAGAAAGATAAACTTTTTTATTTGTAAGATACATTAGAGAATCTTCCCATTATATTTCTGGTTAGCAAACAGTGGCATTGTGTCCTGTTGCAGGAAAACTGTTCTTGTAGAAGGCACACCAACAGGAGAGCGCACAGGGGAGAGCAAAGAAAATGGGCAGAGATCTAGAAAAAAAAAGGTCCCCTCTCCTTCCTCTCCCCCCCAAAGAAAGGAAACTATAGAATTGGGAATTTGGGGAATTGAGATTCCTAAGTCTGAAGAACAGAAAGCCAAGTGATGTTCATCTATATCAGCTGTCTGCAAAAAAGCAGAGATTGACTGTTTTTATCTGATGTGGATATTAATTGAAGGGCTTAAAAAACAACAGCACTAAAGTTTATAATATGTATCAAGAAAATCTATTACAAATGAAGATAATGAAATACTTAATTTCCTAGGTACAACTGATCCTCTTCTATAGCTTCAAAATGCAAGAGCCCTCTTGAACTCTTTTCCAGTACGCATTTTTTGCAAGTCTGTGGCTCACAGTAGTTATGTACTTTAGAAGTCCCATCTTATTGCTCTTGAAAAGATAAATTTATCAAAGTTTCCATGCTAGATTATACCAGCTAAATTGTTTTGATATAGTGACTAAGAGAACCAGCAACACTACTGCTATCTTCCAGAAACTAGTGTACCTGAGATTCAGCAACTGCACAGCTTTCCCAAATGTTAAAAATCTGTCTTTCTCTTTTCCTGGGGCCTCCTAATGGAGTCTGTTATAAAAGTACCTATAGCTATACCTATAATAAAAGTTATATACTTTTATAACTCAAGCCTGCCTTTCCTGAGAGCTCTGCTGCAAACCGCTAAAACAACACACAGCTCCTTTGCCAAAGGGGACACTTATGATGATGGGACACGGAAGGGCGCTGCACCAAGGGAAGTGAGATGTGGGGAGGAAATGTGGAGATGTACTTTGTTAGAGGGCTGCAGAATCAAATCACTGCTTTATAATCTCTGAAGTCATTCAGGTGTTTCTTCACATAAATCAAAATCCAAGTTCATGTGATTTTAATGAAGTGCCCTCACAGGGTAGAAATGATTAAACTCCTTCAGCCTATCCTCTAACTTGGTCCATATACAGATGAGCTTGGCAAAAGAACATTATATAGATGTCCATCAGAAAGAAGATCTGGGGAGCGTTTGTTGTATTGATTCACAACAGGAGTTCCTAGGATGCGTGCCACCATTGCCAGCAGAATATCAGTGTTACTGACTGCCCATATCACTTCTGCAATTCACTTATGTTGACAATTTCAAGTGATTTTATACAAAAAAATATGGTCTTCGGAAGCAGTTTTATACTTGCAAAAAAGTTACTTTGTTCTCATTTTAGAAAATATTGGAAAGATTAAAATCCATTTGACGCCGCTTTCTGACCTTTCAAATATCTACTGAATAATGAAAACAGATGCTTTGGTTCTCTGAGTCACATCTTTTAAAATCAGTGTAACATAACCCAGCATGAAGCTCAGGCTTATCCAATATATAATACTCCCAGAGTCACAGAACAGATTTTTTTTTACACAAGGTTCTTCACCTTATGATTTTTTTCCAGGAAAATTTAAACTTTTCTGAATGAAAATTTTGGTCAGACCGATGTATTTCACCTGAGCACAGACTTTTCAACTAACCACCTAATCCACCTAGACTCAACATGGGCTATCAGTGCCTGCCATGTAAATGCCATTATAGCTGCACTTCTGAGTCCTTCCTGTAGTAAAGATAAGGTGTAATAAAATAGAAGTCTGATATAAATAAGCTTAAAAATCCCAAAATCCAAGTATTAGCACAGGAAAAAGCAGTTATCATTAGGAAAAAGTTCTGATTCTTATGGAACAAATGAGGTCAGTGATATTTTCAGATTGGATAGAGATCTTGAGACACTTAAACTGTTTTCATAGAATCATAGAATCTCCAAGGTTGGAAAAGACCTAAAAGATCATCCAGTCCAACCGTTCACCTATTCCCAATAGCTCCTACTAAACCATGTCCCTCAACACAACATCCAGCCTTTCCTTGAACACCCCCAGGCTCGGTGACTCCACCACCTCCCTGGGCATCCATTCCAGTGCCTGACCACCCTTTCTGAAAAGTAATACTTCCTCATGTCCAGCCTGAATCTCCCCTGCCGTAGCTTGAAGCCATTCCCCCTGGTCCTATCACTAATGACACGAGAGAAGAGGTCGACCCCCAGCTCACTACAACCTCCCTTCAGGAAGTTATAGAGAGCAATGAGGTCTCCCCTGAGCCTCCTCTTCTCCAGGCTGAACATTCCCAGCTCCTTCAGCCTCTCCTCATATGGCCTGTGTTCCAGACCCCTCACCAGCTTTGTTGCCCTCCTTTGAACATGTTCCAGAGCCTCAATGTCTTTCTTACAGTGAGGGGCCCAAAACTGGACACAGTGCTCCAGGTGCGGCCTCACTAGTGCTGAATATAGAGGAACAATCACCTCTCTGCTCCTGCTTGCAACGCTGTTTCTGATGCAAGCCAGGATGCCATTGGCCTTCTTGGCCACCTGGGCACACTGTCGGCTCATGTTCAGCTGAGCATCAATCAATACCCCCAGGTCCATTTCCTCTATGCAGTCCTCCAGCCACACCGCCTCAGGCCTGTAGCGTCGCCTGGGGTTGTTGTAGCCAAAGAGCAGGACCCGGCATTTGGCCTTGTTGAAACTCATCCCATTGGCTTCAGCCCAGCTCTCTAGCCTGTC